GGAAAGGAGGAGTGTGCTGTCACAGTATGGGGAGAGCAATTAGGGTCACATAACAATGTATAAATTTTTGTATGGGAGACTAACTTGAAATGTAAACTTCATCTAAACTACAATAGAAAAAAAAGATTCCTTTCAGTTCGTTTTTCTCAACTAGGTGATTCATTTTTATCGTAGTTTATTGAAGTGTCATCCTGAGTCATATTGGAAATAAAAAAGATTGCCCTTCTCTACAGATGGTTTGCAAGGCCCTGGTTTGGGCTTCACCGTGGAGGTGATGGTTCCTGAGGCACCGAAGCACAGCAAGGCCCTGATCTATTACGATTGTAGGGAGAGTGCTGGTGGAGCCAGGCCTCCTGATCCGTTATCTCTGTCCTGTGTGTTCATCTGTCCTAGCCCAAGGAGAGTCTCACTTGCGTTTGTGTGCCCGGCACCAGGTTGCCATAGGTGCCCAGTGTGTGTTGAATGCTGTGTGTTGGGAGGCCTTCAAGGTAACCTGTACTTTTGTTCAGGGATATGCAGCCCACTCCCCGGAGCTGGTGACCCAGCCTTGGGGGCCCTGGATCTGGACCTCTTACTCCTTTCAAAGCAATAAAATTAGTACCTGCACTCGCATTTAAAAAGTCAGATTATGAAAGGGAGCATACAGTTATGAATAAGTGTCCCACCTACCCCTGACTTCTGGTTCCTTTCCTCTAATAGCTTCTTGAATCTCTTTCCAGAAGAAGTCGAGTAAGTATCTGTTGCTGTTGAGTCGATTCCAATTCACAGCAACCCTATAGGACAGCGTGGAACTGCCGCCATAGGGTTTCCAAGGCTGTGATCTGTACGGGAGCAGATTGCCACATCTGTCTCCCACAGATTGGCTGGTGTGTTTGAACCGCCAGCCTTTCAGTTAGCAGCCAAGCATATATATCTATATGCCCCTGTAGTTTTGCTTGTGTTTGTTATAATTTTTTTATTTTGAAGTAATTTTAGACTTACACAGAAAAGTTGTAAAGATGCTACAGAGAGAGTTCCCACATACCCCAGCTTCCCCAAATGATTACATCTTACATATCCATGGTATATTTATCAAAAGTACGATTTGTTTGCCCTTGGACTTGGAGAACAGAAGTTTGTATCTGCAACTGGCCAACTGCTAGAAGTGTTGCGCCCTTCCTTATGAACCACTTAAACTGACCGTGAGGTAGAGGCTCTTACTGGGGTGGTAAAGTCAGGCAAGGCCTTGTTACATCATGAACCTTGAATGTAGCTAAGGGACGTTTGGAGAAGTCTTTCTCCTGGTGACAGTTGAAAAATATTTTGGTGGTGCAGATGTTCTATGTGTTGGCATATGTTGAAGGTGATTCTGTGTTGATTTCCTTTCTTTGTTGCAATAATTGTGGTCATGCTGGGCCATGGCATGATTAAAGACGAAGGCATATTTTGTTGTTGTTGTAAGGAAATTCCATCTCGCAACACACATATAGAATCGAATGTGGCCGAGTTAGGCTAGAGAAAAATTCAGGCTGCTGTGGCGCAGGATAAGAGGGTAAGGTCAGGCCACCAGAGCATGGGTACTAGGGACCTCGTTGGTATACACTTTGCTGCTGTTATTCCTGCATCAGTTAGTCATGCAGCAGTATGTCGACAGGGAACTGCCAGAAATTCAAGGCAGATTCAGAAGAGGACATGGAATGAGGGATATCGTTGCTGGTGTCAGATGGGTCTTCGCTGAAAGCAGAGAATACCAGAAAGATGTTTACCTGTGTTGTATTGACTATGCAAAGCCATTCGGCTATGTGGACCATAGCAAATTATGGATAACATTGTGAAGAAAGGGAATTCCAGTACACTTAATTGTGCTCACAGGGAACCTGTGCATAGACCAAGAGTTAGTCGTTCAAACAGAACCAGGGGATACTGCGTGGTTTAAAGTCAGGAAGGGTGTGTGTTAGGATTGTATCCTTTTACCATACTTATTCAGTCTGCACGTGGAGCAAATAATCCGAGAAGCTGGACTGTATGGAGAATGCTGCATCAGGATTGGAGGAAGACTAATTAACAACCTGCATTATGCAGATGACACAACCTTGCTTGCTGAAAGCAAAGAGGACTTGAAGCATTTACTGGTGAAGATCAAAGACTACAGCCTTCAGGATGGATTACACTTCAACATAAAGAAAACAAAAATCCTCACAACTGGACCAATAAGTGACATCATGATAAACGCAGAAAAAATTGAAGTTGTCAAGGATTTCATTTTACTTGGATCCACAATCAAACCCCATGGAAGCAGCGGTCAATAAATCAAACGACATATTGCATTGGGCAAATCTGCTACAAAAGACCTCTTTAATGTGTTAAAAAGCAGAGATGTCACCTCAAAGACTAAATATGCCTGACCCAAGCCATGGTGTTTTCAATCACCTCATATGCGTCTACAAGCTGGACAGTGAATAAGGAAGACCCAAGAAAACTGATGCTTTTGAATTATGGTGTTGGCGAAGAATATTGAATATACCATGGACTGCCAGAAGAATGAACAAATCTGTCTTGGAAG